ATATGTAGTATTTGGTTTTATGCTCCTGCATTAGTTTGCTGAGGATAATGGCTTCCAGCTCCATTCATGTCCCTGCAGAGAACATGATCTCATTCCTTTTTATGGCTGTGTAATATTCCATGGTGTATATGTATGACATTTTCTTTATCCAGTCTATCATTGATGGGCATTTGGATTGATTCCATATCTTTGCTATTGTGAATAGTGCTATCTGCATCTTTTTCTTATTTGTAACTTATTTCACTGATAGAAGCCTGGCTCTTATTACTTACACTATGTTTTCTCAGTTCAACCTTATTATACTCATAGTTTAGAACTGGTAACACATAACTCTGTCAGAGAAAAAAATTACAAACTAGAGTACAATGTTCACATATAATTATTTTTATCTTTAGCTTTATAGTAGCCAGTCTGAACACTTGTCCAAAGTTACTTAGGTCATTTCCTTTCTTTTCAATCCCACATCCTGGGTGACAGTTTTTATAATTTACATACCATGAAATTAACTCAGTGGATTCTAATGGTTTTGACAAATTCAAAGTTGGGTATCTAGCAGCAATTTCTTACATAATAGTTCTATTCCACCCCCAAATTCTTGTGTCCTGCTTCTTTGTAGTCAATTGCTCCTACCCCTACCCCTAGCAATCATTTATTATTTTCTGTCCCTATGGTTTTGCCTTTGCCAGAAATTCGTAGAAATGGAATCACATAACATGTAGTCTTTTGGGTCTGGCTTTTTTCACTTAGCAAACTACACTGAAGCTTCATGCATGCTGTTGGGTGAATCAGCAAATGTTGAAACAACAAAATGTTGTTTCTTCCTTGAACTGGCTTTATGTATGGATAGATGTTCACCCGTTTACCAGCTGAAAGACAATCTGGGTTGTTTCCAGTTTGGGGATAAAGTTCTATAAACATTCATTTACACATTTTTGTGTAAATCTACATTTTCTCTTCTCTTTGATGAACACCTAGAGGTGAGTTTGCTGGGTCATATGATACGTGCATGTTTGTAAGAAACTGTCAAACTGATTTCCAAAGTAGGTGTACCATTTTGCATTCTCATGAGCAATGTGTGAGTGTTCCAGTTGTCTCAGACCCTTGCTAGTACTTGGTATTGTCAGGTTTGTGTGTGTGGTGGTTTGGGGGGTTTTGTTTTTTGTTTTTAAGCCATTCTAGTAGGTATGTAGTGGTATCTTACTGCAGTTTTAACTTTCATAATGACTGTTGATTTTAAGCATCTTTTTATGTGCTTCTTTGCCATCTTTACTGGGTTGAATTGTGCCTCCAAAAATGAAGTTCTAACCCTCACTACCTATGAATATAATCTTATTGGAAAATAGGGTCATTGCAAAAGATGAAGTTAAGTGAAGTTATCAGGATGGGACTTAATACAGTATGACTGATGTCCTTATAAAAAGGGGAAATTTGAAGACAGATGCATGCCTGCAGGGAGGATGCCATGTAAAGATAAAGGCAGAGCTTTACGAGCCAAACAATGCCAGAGATCACCAGCAATCCACCAGAAGCTAGGACAAAAAAATGGAACCAATTTTCCCACACAGCCTCAGAAGAATCCAACCTGCCAACACCTTGATCTTGGGATCTGTGGTCTCTGCAGCTGAAAGATAATACATTTCTATTGTTTAAGCTTCCCTGTTTTGTACTTTTCATAGCAATCTTAACCAATTAATACACTATCTGTATATCTTTTTTGGTGAAGCATCTGTTTAGAACTTTTATCTATGTTTTTGTGGTTTGATTTGGTTTTCCTATTGCTTACTGTCTGTAAGCTCCTCCCAGCCATATTTCCTGGTTGGTCATTATAGTTACATAATGGCTACAATTAACAAAGTCTTGGCCAGCCACGGTGGCTTGTGCCTATAATACCAGCACTCTGGGAGGCTGAGGCAGGTGGATTGCTTGAGACCAAGAGTCTGAGACCAGCCTGGCCAACATGGCAAAACCCTGTCTCTACTAAAAGTACACAAATTGGCCGGGCATGGTGGCAAGTACCTGTAGTCCCAGCTACTTGGTGGGTGGGGGGGCTAAGGCAGAAGGCTCTCTTGAACCCAAGAGGTGGAGGTTGCCATGAGCTGAGACTGCATCACTGCATTCCAGCCTGGGTGATACAGTGAGATTCTGTCTCAAAAAAAGAAAAAAAAAGGCTTAATATGCATATTGGATGGGATGGGATGGTGAAATACCCTGGCCACCTTAGAGAGCATCTATCGAGTTGTATGCTGTGTTTATGCTGGGGAGGGACAGTATTGATAAAAGTTCTGTGTCTGTGATACAAGGTAAAAATCTGCGCTTTCATCAAAAGAGCATTGCATGGCAGAGGAAAAAAGCTAAAGCCTTAACAAAGTGAAAGAGTCCTGATGTTTTGTTGGACACCACAACCCTTTCAAAAACATGTCATCAACATGTTTTTAAACAGCATTTTTGAAGTTACTAACTCATAATTGCAAGGTTTGCTTTCCTCATCTCTGTTGAACCTTCAGAGGCCTCCCCTCCATTTCAGTCTGTGGTCTTATTTTATACAACAAGGGTTTCCAGAGAGATAGGGTGGAAATGGGATGGGGCTGGGGTGGAAATCTACTGACTTTTCTCTCTAAATTTTCTTTCTTTATTAGATTTATCCAAGTTTGGCATAGTGGAAATTCCTTCTAGAATCTGGCAGGATGCTTTGTAATATTACTATTTTCCAGCCCTGTTAAAATGTTTTTTGTGTGTGTTCTTGCATAGTATTTCAAGGAGGCCTAAGAGGAGAATGGATCAGATTGCTAGCTTTCCACCACCTTAGCTTGGAAGCCCTTTAACTTTCACAGAGATACACATTCCTTCTGTACCTATTTTTATGCTGTTCCCACCTTCCCATTTGTCTGGCAGTTTCCTGCCAATCTTCCAAGATTCAGCTCAGTTGTTTATCCTCTCTGTAAGGAAGGCTTTCCTGAACTCCCAGGCTAAATGTCTTACAGTATATTGTTTCAATCTGTTTTCACACTTGTTATACTAAGTGTTAGATTATGGAGAGACACCATTATTCATCTTCAATCCTTATCCCATGGCAAATTGCTTGTGCAAACTCTGGTAGATGTTTTATTAAGGGTGACCTTTGTCCAGGGAGGAGACTATCCCCATCAAATTACAGAGGGATTTGAATATCCAGCATTGGAATATGGGCCAGGATGACAGAGTGCCGTAGTATTCCCTTATTTTTAATTCTGATGATGATACATTATTATTTGCTATTTAAAAAGTAAGAACATCTACTTATGTATAGGTTAACCTAGACATAACCTAGACTTTATTAAAATGCTCTTTAAAAAAAATTAGGTGCAAAAATTATTTCTTGAAAATCCCTTCCTTTTATTGATTTTATTAATGTTACATAGAAATATAAAGTTTAACACACCATACTTTTACTAATAAATGTAAATAAGAACAAATTACTTTCAGACAAAATAACCAAATATTGATGATTTTCAATAAAGTATATTTTGAAATAATTCTGAAGCCATAAAAGACTAAAATTCGCTTTATGCTAAAATAAATCATACTCTCCCATAATGCAATTATTTAATTTTTTTTAAAGCAACCACCCAATGAGAATTTAATTCATTAGGACATTTTTAGCATTTATGAATGCAAGAGAGTGTTTCTACTACACTGGTATCATTCCGTTCCTTAGCACTTATCTTTACACTGGAAGAGGTGAACGAGATGATTATGCCCCTGCTGGGGCTAGTTCTGCCTCTGAACAGTGACTTGGCATGGCAGTTAGGTGCAAAATCACCTAAGTGTACCCTAAAGATTTCTTCAGAGCTGTCAGTCTTCCTAAAACTACCCTAGCAAATACTTTTTCCTTTCTCCAAATACTGTTATTTAAACCACTCTGTTTACCCCATTGCAAGCTTTCCATTCTCTGTTAAGAATTTCTTGGATGCTCATAAAGTTTTAAAGGACAAGACTCCTCTCAAAAGTACATACTACTCATAAGCTCAAAGCAAATTAGGTTATTTTACAATCCTTGCTATAGGGGAGAAAATGAGAATTGAGTAATTATCCCAATTTGAAAAGGAGAAAATAAGTATAAAAATAGATTGATTTTTTTCAAACAATCCTCTACATTTATACTTTTACTTTAAGGATTAAAATGTACCATATAGTCTGGCACTCAAACTTTTCAAGAACAGATATTTTACAAAGACACTGAGACTCAGAGATATGAGTCAAATAGAAATCTGTATTATTAGAACTTGAACTTGGGCTGGGTATAGTGGCTCATGCCTATAATCCCAGTGCTTTGGAAAACCAAGGCAGGATTCAAGACAAGGCTAGCCAATATAGCAATAACCTGTTTC